GTTTGTGTTTTCACACCCGTCATAGATCGTTTCTTCATCTGCAGGGTACAAGTTTTTACCCTTTACCGGAAGGAATCATTCGGAGTTGATCGTTGATGTTCATGACTCGGATACATTGTTCTCGGAACGACATGGGAAGTATCGTCCGGGCAACAAACCCACCTGGCTGTAGTGTGTACTATCGGAGCACACACATATCCACTACTTCAAATTTCGATGGCTTTCGAACAACGATCTTTGATAGGACGTCGAACTCCGTTCTCACACGAATCTCTACTTCTTTGTTTGATTCTATTCGGCACATCGCCAAAAATTTAATATATTATATTACCTATTATATATTACGTATTACCTAATAAAATATACCAAAGGTATATTTTATTAGGTAATACGTATGTTAGCACGATGATGTCAAGATGGCGGAGTAAAAACCCAAAACGGAGTTGAAATAATTTTTATTCGGTTCTAAAACTGTGTGTGACGTCTGCAATGTCTACACTGGTGTTTCGAATTAATTTCTCATCAGGAATATGCAGACTGTGCAAAAATATATGACAAAATTACGATATATAATAAAATAAAATTATACCACAAATTAAAATTTCAACCAAAAATTCAAGTTCAAAAAATTATAAAATGCAAATATAGAAATTGATATAAAACATTATTATAAATTAAATTTTAAATCAAACAATTGAGTTAAACATAAAACATATAAAGGAATAACGAGAATTTTAAAATATAACAAAATAGCGAAAATTTTAAAATCAATAATCATCCGAATTAATACAGATTAATAAGTGTCAATAGAGGGATAAAATAATGCAGTTTAATAAGTGTCAATGAAAATAAAATAATGCAGGAGATTAAATTGAATTATGAAAGTAAAACTGGAGTAAAATATGATAATCTTATAGTTGATATTATAGACCTATATACATATACCTACCTATTCATATACATATATACAAATCCCTAAATACATATCCATATACACCAAAATACACACACATCCATATATACCATACTACAATAATGTAAGTATAAACCATATCATAATATATGAGCTCAATCATGTTATATTATCGCCGTTATGTTGCACATGAATTATAGCCTGCCTACACTAACGTTAAATTATAAAATTGTTGAAGTGAATGAATTTCAAAATTATACATGTTTATAGTAACCTAAAATAAATCGTGTAGGCTCCCAATTGATTTTACTAGATAAATATCGAAAAAAATTTTTAATTAAAACGAGTAAATAAAACTATAATAAATTAATAAATTATAAAAATTAGTCGCGCTAAATGTTGGGAATTGTAGATAATAAATGTAAACAATAGTAGAAGTTAGCCCAGTATGACAAATAAAATATGACAACAATCAATCAATCAATCAATCAATCAATTAGCTTATAAAGCGCTATTTCCGCGATGTTCAACAGCGCTCCTCAATGAATTTTGAAAACAGATGGGTCTTGAGATCCGCTCTGAACTTCGCAAGTGATGGAGAAATAGTTAGAGAAGTAGGTAGAGAGTTCCAGAGAAAAGGACCAGAAAAAGCAAAAGCAGATTTGGCAAAAGAGTGTTTAACACGAGTTGAGACAAAGCGAGAAGAAGACGATCGTAAACCGGGGCGTTTAGGTTCAATTAATATATCTGATAAGTACTTAGGAAATAATTTAGATTGAGACTTATACATGAACGTGCAAATTTTAAAAATTATTCTATATTTTATAGGTAGCCAATGCAAGAGAACAAGATATGGAGATATATGAGAAAAGAAAGGGGCACGAGCAACTAGACGAGCAGCAGAGTTAAAAGCTTTACTTAAAGGATAGAGTATAGAGTCAGGAAGACCATAGTAGAGCGAGTTACAATAATCAATCCTAGATAAGACTAACGAAGTAACAAGAAGGAGAAGAGTAGGATCATCAAGAAAAGGCAAAAGTTTTTTTATTCTACGTAGATGAAAGTAAGAACTTCTAGCAACACTATTAATCTGAGAAGAGAGAGACATAGTAGAATCAAAGATAAAACCTAGACTACGAAACTTATGAGAGACATCAAGAGTTTTAGAATCAGGTAAGATAATAGGAGGAATAGTAATTGAGTGTTTAGATTTATTAAAACAAATTAATTCAAACTTAGAAGGATTAAGTTTAAGACACATAGAGTCAGACCAAGCGATAATTGAAGAAAGACATAGAGATAGATTATGAAGAACACTATTGAGATTAGATGGAAGAAAAGAAGTATAAATGTAAGAATCATCAGCATTAAAATGACTAAAAAAAAGTTATCAATAATACAAGGTAGTTGAGAGGTATAGAGTATAAATAGAAGAGGGCCAAGGATAGAACCCTGAGGTACCCCGAAAGTAAGAGTAGAGGAGTTAGAAGTAGAATTATTGAGAACAACAGAAGAAAAACGATTACAGAGATAAGAAGAAAACCAAGATAGACAAGAATCAGTAATATTAAAAGAAAGATGCAGCAGTCTCAAGAGAATAGTATGGTCAACAGTATCAAAAGCTGAAGAAAAGTCAAGAGCAAGAAGAAGAGTAAGATTACTATTGTCACTAGAGAGAAGGATATCATTGTGTATTTTAAGTAAAGAAGTTTCAGTACTGTGAGCAGGTCTGAAACCAGATTGAGATACAGGTAGCAAGGAGTTAAAGTCTAAATAGGATGAGAGTTGATTAAAAACAACTTTTTCTATTATTTTAGAGATGAAAGTAATATTAGTTACAGGTCTATAATTAGATAAAGAGGTAGGATCTAGGGATGTGTTTTTAAGAATAGGAATAACAATAGAATTCTTATAAGAAGTAGGAAATTTAGAGGTGGAAAGAGATAAATTAACTAATTTGAGAATGATTGGATAAAATATTGAAGAGAATTCTTTAAGTAAATTGGAAGGAAGTAGATCTAGAGAACAGGTTGTAGACGACATAGAATTAA